ACCCGGGGCTGAGGGGCGAGGGCAGCGGGGAACACGGCGAGCTGGGCGGGCATCACTGCCAGGATCATTCGGATGAGGAAACGCCGACTTCGGATGAGTTGGAGCAGTTCGCCAAGCAGTTTAAACAACGGCGCATTAAGCTGGGTTTTACCCAAGCCGACGTCGGTTTAGCCCTTGGGACCCTCTACGGCAACGTCTTCTCGCAGACCACCATCTGCCGCTTCGAGGCCCTGCAGCTCAGCTTCAAAAACATGTGCAAGCTCAAGCCCCTGCTGAATAAATGGTTGGAAGAAGCCGATTCCTCTACCGGCAGCCCCACCAGCATCGATAAAATCGCGGCTCAAGGGAGGAAGAGGAAGAAGAGGACCTCCATCGAGGTGAGTGTCAAGGGCGTGTTGGAAACGCACTTTCTCAAGTGTCCCAAACCTGCAGCTCAAGAGATTTCCTCGCTGGCAGACAGCCTGCAGCTGGAAAAAGAGGTGGTGAGGGTCTGGTTCTGTAACCGACGGCAAAAAGAGAAGAGGATGACCCCTCCGGGAGAGCAGCCGCAGCACGAAGTGTATTCCCACGGCGTGAAAACGGACACGGCCTGCCACGACCTCTGACCAGGGGCTCTGCGGGCAGGCAGGACTGCGGGCAGCGCGGATTTTTGGGGTTTTTTTCGCCGGGGCTTTAACTTATATGGTTTTCACGAGAGGTGGGAGATGTGGAGCCAGGGGTTCCTCGCTCACCGCTTGGGCAATATATATATATATTTTTTTCTTCTTCTCTCTCCGACTTTTCCGCTGATCAGTACACGGTGTTTACTCGCAGACAAGGTTTGTTTTCGGTTTCCACTAGGACAAAGGAAAAAAAAAACCACAAAACAGAAACAAAAAGGGGAAAAAAAAAAAAAAAAGAAAACCCACGCGAAAAAGAAAAAAAAAAAAAAGAAAAAACCGACAGAAAAGGAAAGACAGATGTGTGCCTATGAATAACCTTCCAGCGCCTTGGTTATATCAGCTGTATTTCAGGTGAATCTGTTTTACAATAGACTAGTTTTGCATTTTTAAAGACTTATATAGCGTTTTTAAATGTCTGAGGTGTTTTACTACAAACTGTACACAATATTTGTGACCTAATTTGTATCGAATTGAGCAGTCAGAAAAAACCCTTCCTTCCCTTCCCCACGCACCGCACCGGCAATGTCACCCAAAAAACGGGGACGGGGCAGGGCTGCCGCGGCCCTTCCTCCCCCCCACCCAGACCCCCCCGAGGAGATGGGGTTCCCCCCGCGCACCCGACGGTTGTGAAGAACAGGTTTATTTGTTACAGCTTTTCTCTGCCTTTTCAAGAACTTCCCAACACCGTAAAACAGTCGGGTTACAATCCCGACCTTCCCCCCTCTCTTCTCCCAA